TGTGTGTAGGGGGTTATTTTTATTCATATATATATATATATAAAAAAATTAACTCACTTTGATGTTCAAAGCCTTATATTTCCAATTTGCTGGAGTCAGAAAACATTCCAAAACATGTATCTTTCTTTTAAAATAAATGCAGGTGACATCGCCTTTCGATTTATTAATTATGTTCGCTCTGTACGAGAACGCCAGCTCCAGCAGAAGCTTAAGCACCATCAGAATTTATCGTGGCAGGAAATTTCTGAGAGTTACCAGGAAGACAAATTTAAGTCGTTAGGGGATTCCCAGGTGGTGGTCTGTGACATTAACAAAGAAATGTTAAAAGTTGGGAAGCAGAAAGCACAGCATCTTGGCTACTCCGAAGGTAAGTCACGCATTGTACCATTTCAGTAGCATGCGTGATAGCAAGAATTTGACACATGATAGCCATCAGGTAATCACCACTTCAGGATTATCTTATCCATTATATAGCCATAGTGTATGCTATAGCTGTGCTTGCATATTTGCCAATGTTGAGTTACTTTTTCAGCGAGCATGTATGTAGTACATTGTTCAAGTGTACAGTGGTCCTCCTGAATAATACTTGAACTTTCAGAAATACATATATGGAAATGTCCATGAGGTCTGATACCCAGCTATCCTTTAAAATTGGCTAAATAATCTAAACCTGCTGTTTATATCTGTGCTAAAAAATCTGGTTTTACTAAGACAGATAATGCGAAACAGCCCAGCCCTAGAATGATTACACTAAAGATCCTAGAATGGGTATTTTAAGAATCAAGGCAGCAAATAAAAAATGGAAGAACTAAAGGATATTGTGAACATGTAATACTTTCCATAGTTAGAGCATATGCTAATAATACTCGGAGAAACTGAATTATATTAAATGTTAGTTTGCAGGTCAATGGATTAATTCACTGATATCTAGAATTTGTTGGGGACCACGCCAATCCTGATTGAAAAACCTGATTTTAAGAAGTAAGACATAGATAAAGAAGTCCTGCTTGTGGCTCAGCGTTTGTATGATAGTTGTTTATCCTCTCTTCATTTATGGATACTTGGCAAATATTTTAGCAATGTAAAGTATACCAGGAGGTTCCCAAACTTTGTTTGCCTGGGTACCACCATTAGGTATGCCCTGGGTAGCCTCTGCGTGTGTGTTACAAGATCTCCTGCATGTCCTTTTCACTGTGCCTGGCTCCCACACCCCCACTGGGGCTTCAGCCTACAAACTGTGTAGGCTGAAGGACATACAGAACAGCTCACTAGCACAAAGGGGCTGAAAGATAAGCTGCTGGCATAGGTTCTCTCAGCTGCTCTTGCTCTCTGCTGGTGGGTTACCCCAGGCCATTGCCTGCCTGCCTCTCCCCTTTCTCTAAAAAATGAATTGTGAAGGCATTGGTTCTTCCAGCTCTGGCAGACTGCATGCATCACACTTACCTGAGCGGCTTGCAAGCCTGTCCAGAGCTCTTTTTATGCATCATAGTTTGGGAAACCCTGAACTGTACCAACATTGTAAGTACAAAAACTTTATGACTGTAGCTTAGGACCCGAAATAGGACTTGATGCTGCCTCCCAGCTACTATAAAATAAAGCATTTGGTTTAATTTGCTGCATTTTTTAGGTATTTGTGTGACTTACCAAATTCTCAAAATGAGTATTTACAGTTTTTAATTTTCTTCCTCTGTACGTCATAGCTGTAGAAGCCTAACTGTCTTCTTGTTGCCTTATGCCCCACTGTGCCACAATTCTGACTTCTTACTGTGTTTTCCACTCCCTTGTTTAGCTCATATCCATTTAATATGTCCTACCTTCTGGTTTTCATGCGATTCCTCCCTGTTTTAGTAATCTCATTTCTGAGCTTGCTTATCTGTTGATTGTCTGAGGTCTAAAATTTGGTTTTCATAAAATTGTAAGGGGCAGAGTTTTCTTTCACTATTTAGCTATGTTCACCATCAGTGGGGGCTATGCATGGCAAAAAGAAAACACGTGTTGCACAATCACTGACTGTGCGTTTTGGCCAGCAGGAGCGGTAGGCTGCACTGCATGTGCCCCAGTTCCCCTTGTTGGACACTGACAGCCCCTTTTATGTATCCATTTAAAAACTCCTGGCCTGTGATTTTACCACAGTGTATTCTGAGGGACAGTTTTCCTGTTGCTCAAAACCTTTTCTTGATGCTCACTTCTTAGGTGTCTTTCCAAACTGTCTACTTTTAAAAAACGCTAATAATTGCTGCTTTAATAATGTTGCTTGCTGCTTTGCATACAGAACTTTCTACAACTATAAATATATATATTTTGTAAAAATGAAATTTGAATGTCTCCTGGCAACAACTGTTGTCTACTGTGTTTTGCTCTCCCCCATGTTGCTTTCTAGCATACTGCCCTTTGAAACTGCTGATCTCTGTTGCAGGAGACTCCTGGTTTTTAATGTTAGTTTTTTTGTTTTGCATTTGAGTCACCAGAACCAGTAACTTTAAGAACTATTAATTCTAAATTGAGCAGTCTTATGTTGGGTACCAATACCCTGGACATCCATGCTCCACAGGTAGTCATGGCCTTGATCCATTGGGGTTTGGGAAACAACACAGCTGCAACAGGATCACATACTGATAGTGCTTATGGAGGGAGTGTGGCTTGTCATGTTCATCAGTCTATGGAAACTTTCTAGCAAAATGTTTTAAGTGTTTTGGCATTGTTGCACGCAAGACATTAATCATTGTTTATAGTTACTCTTTGAGCAGAGATTCTCTTTTTGCAACTTTGCTACAAACAAATGGCAGTCAGTTTCTGGAAAGCCAGTTGCTTTCCACTACGATGCAAGATTTGAGTGAAATCTTCTTGGCAGACTAAGGCACTGTGAGCACAACATGCATGTGTACACAGAAGAATGTTTTGGCTGATCTGCAAAATTAACTACTTTGCTTAAAAGACAGCTGTACAGTACAGGGCCTTGAAAGGTTTGTGAGTATAGACCAAGGGATCTTTCTGCCAACACAAATGAAAATTTGAAGTATTAAATATCACTTTATTAATAATCATTTCCTTCTGGAATAGGTAAGTTCTAGTCTTTCTTGGAGCAGTCTGAGTTCAATTCTGTGTCCTTGACTTTTACTACAGGTTTGTCTTGGGTACTTGGGGATGCTGAAGAGTTGCCCTTTGATGATGATAAGTTTGATGTTTACACAATTGCCTTTGGAATCCGAAATGTAACTCGTATTGATTTGGTAAGATGCTGTAGTGTATCCTGACATGGGGTCCTGAGGTTTTTTACTCTAGCAGAGGAAGCAAAGGAGGAACTCTTTTGGGTAAAGGAACATCACTGTCTACTCCTGAAACATTTAAAATAAGTGGCATGTAGTCTGCAACTTGTTTGAATGAAGAATGCAATTAAATGCCCCACCTTTGCCATAAAAAGTTAGATTTATACTAGTTGCGCCCGATCCTTCCAGCTTGGCAAGCCACACAATCTGTTCCTAAGGCAAAGAGGGCTGAATGCTACGGTCGTTCCCCACCTTCTCCTGATCTATGTATGATATGACTGGATCTACACATGCACAGTGCAGTCAGTCTGCATGTCTCAAATCTTCCTGAAGCACCTGATCCATATTCCACCCGCAGTGGGTCCAACGCTTCCTGCCCCGTTCTGTTTCCTGGCCTGAGCCAGCAGAGCTCCCAGAGCAGAGAGTGGGCAGCAGCAGGCTGCTGCCACCACTGCACTTGAACTTACCCATTCAGCCCACTGCTGCTCAGTGTCTTTACACTGGCTGCTAGTAGAGTTTCTATGAAGAATGAGTATGATTTTAATTAGAGTAAATAGTATCCTTTGTTCTAAACAATATCTGTCCTTTGAAGAATGACTAGCAGTCTTGGGGGTGAAGATAGGTTAGAGCACCTGTCTAGCTGCACTAGTTGCCTGTGTTTTGGAGGAGTGTGTTACAACCTTGGCAGTGCTCCTTCTGTGGAAGGTGTAGCATTTGGATCCAAACCACCTTGAACTGTATGCCTTTGAACTTCTCTTAATGTGGATGGCTTTTCACGATGCTTCGTCTGCACCCTTGCAAAGCGCAGGTTCTTTGCCTTCATAGATACAGCAGCCTGGTAGCATAGGTCCCTGGAGACCTGATACAAAACACATCCAAGCCTCCAATTGTTTTGCAGAGCTCCCGTCACCTATGTGTACCGTTTATATTTTATCCCTTAGGGACATGACAGTTGAAGCCAAGCAGATACACAACCTACAGAGGTTCTTGAATACAATTCTGCTGTGCTCTTGTATGAAAAAACATACAGTTGTAAACAGAATTTTGTCTTGGTTCTTCTTAGGTGTTTTATTTTGCATATAGGACAGAATTTTCAAAGTAGCCAAAGGTTTTCTTCTTCCCTCTCCTTCCTCCCTTGTTCTCACACATTGCTATTCCAAAACCCAGTATCATTTCTCCTTTGATCCTTTGGGTGTGCCTCACAGTTGAGTAAAATCTTTTCTTTTGATTTAAAAAAAAAAAAACCTACCATGCCTTCTTTTCATTTTCAGCTTCTTGTAGCTGAGTCACCTCCCTTTTGGGTTTGGTCTGTAATTACAAGAGCTCTGCTGGCAAACATTCATCAACTAAGAGTAGGGAAAAAGAAGAAAAATTGCAAACCTGACATAGTTTCAACACAAAGCCTGGTATAAATCTATTTATGTAACGGCAAGAGTTTTTCTGGTTTGGTTTTATTTGGTTTTTTGTACTTGTCTTGGGATGCTTCTCCACAAGTAAATATTGAAGGCTGCTGATCAGGATTCTCTTTACTCCTCTCAGCTCATCACTGAGTTGCCTTCACATGACATGGTAATAGGCAGGTGCTGTTTTACAGAAACAAACTTACCGCATCTGCTTTGTCTTAGGCACTTCAGGAGGCCTATCGTGTGCTGAAACCAGGAGGAAGATTTCTCTGCCTTGAATTTAGTCACGTCAGCAACCCTCTTCTTTCCTGGTAGGAAGATGGTGACACTTTATGCCATGTCACAAGGCTCTCTTATTTGTACTCAGCCAGAATAAGAGATGGAGACACTTTGAGGCCACCTCATTGTGCCCTGTAAAACCAAATACAGACTCCATAGCGTAGATAAACTTGTGTTGGAGAGGGTTGGTTTTAAACTTGCATTAATCTGCATTTGCTGTCTGTCTGTGCAGGCTCTATGATCTATACAGTTTCCAGGTTATCCCTGTTCTGGGTGAGGTTATCGCTGGTGACTGGAAGTCTTACCAGTATCTCGTGGAAAGCATCCGACGTTTCCCCCCTCAAGTAAGACAGTATTTCTCTGAATTCACTAACACACAAAACGTGGTCCCAGCGTAATCTTGCAGACAGCTGGCTTATAGGCCTTCAGGTTGTTATAATTATGGAACTATTTATTTTCAGGAGGAGCTGAAGGCAATGATAGAAGATGCAGGGTTTTTAAAAGTGGATTATCAGAATTTAAACTCTGGCATCGTTGCCATTCACTCAGGTTTCAAACTGTGAGTTTGCTATGTAGCAAAACTCAGAAAGTGTAATTTTCCTGAGGAATATGAAAGCTGTGGAATTTTAATGCTATCAAGATTGAAGAGGAGTTTTAAGAACTTGTGCAACAGATAGTTGCTCACCAGTCAGACCCGGAAGAATATCAGCTACCTTTTTCCCCCAAGAAACTTGCAGATGAAGCGATTCCTGTGGCATTTCTTACACTTGCATTTCCCTTCAACTGCAACGTAAAGGACATGGCCAGAGCTGAGCAATGCTACCAAATGAAGCAACTTCAGTTACCAGTGGTGTGGATACAGAAAGAGACTGACTAGTCTTTGCATAAGATGCCTCCTTTTTTTTTTTTTAACTAAGCTTCAAGGAAGATATCGTACCAGTGAGAAGTAACTTGGATTTATTAGATTTTTATTAAGCTGTTGTTATCTTTACCATGTGGACTCTAAGGGATTTTTACCATGATTCTTCTACTTCTTTCAAAGGCAAATGAAAGACTTGTGAAATAAATCAGCTCTGCATCAACTTTTTTCATCTAAGTCAATATTTTAACCTTTCTAAGGTTTCCTTTCTAATAAAGGTATTTTTTTCTGAAGGAGAATGACTGCATAACTATATTCTGGAATTAGATGACATGTTTTCACCTCCATATGAAATCTTTTTTTTTTTTTGTCAGTGCTAGATGCATAATCTGTATGTAAAAATACTGTGCGTTTCCTTCTGTTCTTTAAACTGAACTGTTGAAGAACAGATGCTTCTGTCGCACCCCTGTAGGATACAGGGATAGAGTTTAAAAAAAAAATCTAGAGAATGTATAAATTTACATTCTGAAGTGATAGTGTGTAATGAACCAGTATGAAAGTTACTCTCTCCTGGAAATTGGAAGATGAAAGGACTATTGCTTTTAGCTCACCAGTTCATTTGAGATCAGAAGAGCAACACTATGTATCTAAACTCCAGAATTTGCACTGGAGGTTGTGCATGATAAAAATATGCTTATCAAGAATCAAAAAGCACTCTCTTTTCTCTCAGGGAAAATACCTCCTGTTGTTCTCAGTTACTGACTGATGACGTATTCACAGATTAGCTCAGGATTCAGATGGTGGGGAAGCAGAGGCGGAGATGTTCCTCCTTCATTCACAGTAGAATAAAGAGGGCAATGCAAGCACTAAGAGGGCAGAAGGGCAGAGAAAACTCTTAAAGGATGAACTTGTTCTGACAGTTTTATTAGCAAAGAAGCTGTCTTTTGAAAGAAAATAAATACAAGGAAGACATTTTTGCCTTTTTTATAGCCACAATGAAAATGCCAGCTGCTACAGCAAAATCCCTGACCATTAACAATACAACAAAAGACCTGAAGATCAAGGTCTGTTTCCTCAGGAAGGCTGAAGGTAGGAGGCTGTTTGGAGTTAGTGTGCAGTCCTGTAACCAGGTGCGAGTTTTGCTAACAGTCCATGGTTCTAACCAGACTTGAAAAGAAGAATAGCGACTTGGCCGAGGTAGAAGTAGATGAAGTGCTTGGTCTCATGAGTCACATAGCTGCCAAAGTTCCTTCCCACGATGCAGTGCCAAGTGGGATTGTATTTCTTGTCAAACTCCTGCAGAACAGAGAACTAGGAATTAGCATCTTCATGAGACTTGTACTAATATTGTCTAACAGGGTGTTTTTTGGGTTTGGTTTCTTTTTTTTGCAATGATATGTCACTTGTTAGCAAGTATCACTTTTGGAAGAAGGCAATTAAGGAGCAGCATATGCTCTTAAGTGTAAGGATCATCTGTCATTTTGTAACTCATCTGCTGCTTAGTCAGACCAAAAAAACCAACCAAAAAAAAAAAGTGCTTCCAAGCTGAGCAGGAATAAGCTTAAAACATACATTTGGGGAAGTAACTTTTCCCCAAAAGTCATACCATGACCTCAAACCATAACTTATGTCACTGCTTTTTCTGAATCTATACAGATTAAGCCATTACTTTGACTTCATTAGTTGTTTTCAAGAAGGATGCTGAAAGGACTCTAGATGGAAAATTCTCTGCCACATCCTTGATGCCAGAACATGAGACCATGTTCTTCCTACACCCTGCAGTCAGGAGCCTGCTATGACTTTCAAATACACTCGTGTACAAGTCTGCTACAAGTAAAACATTGCAATCAGTGGTATATACTGTAGTATATAACAGCTATCAGTCTGCGAGAGCATGCAAGAGTTTGTGTTCTGCTCAACCAAAACAACTTGCAGCTCAATCAGGCTCCCAGTAGGAGTCAGAGAGAAAATCTGACAAGCTAGAAGCTATGAACCATCTGTTCTGCATTAGTGTGAACAGTTTGTCTTACTGGGGGAGGGCAGGGGGAACAACACCAAAAAAACCCTGCTTCTTATTACAAGGTCAGCAAAGCACCACTTCTCAAATAGGCTCCACAGAGCCCCTGTGTTTTGTACCCATTCATCAGTCACAGGGACAGTCAGCTGCCACTCTCTGTTCA